AAATAGGTAGGGGATTATTAGACCGGTCCTTACGAGGCCAGCAATCGTGTATAGCAGGTGGAAGTTCTGCTTGTAGTAATAATGCCCCTTTTGGCATGGGGAACATTTTCAAAAGGGAGATGGGGGGAAATTAGTATGAATGGGGTTGTTTGAGAATTTCATTATGTTGTGCATGCTCTAAGTAGTTTTTACCTAGGGTTCAGTTTTCTTTTATGTTGTGTTTGCTGAATTTAGGTTGTTCTTAGGTTGAGTGGGCTCTAGCTGTGGGTTAGGGATTTGGGAGAGTCGGATGTTCCTCTCCAATTGAAGATCCAATTGTATTTTGTTTTTCTTTCATAGCTACTTCAATAAAAAGGGATTCATTTGCACTATTCTCTATATTTTCTCTTGTTATTTGCTTGGTGGCTTTGCTGAAATTCAATTTTAGCCAACGGTTAATTATTTTCTACAAGCACTTCTTATCAAATTGGTATCGGAGCATTACATCCGGATACCTATGGTGGGAAGAAAGGTAAGAGTGTTGGAAGAGGAGATCCGACAATTGAAATTTGATTTTATGTAAAAGATTTCAAATTTTGAAAATCAATTTTCATTTGTCCACGAGAAGATTGATCGGAAGTTTGCCATCATAGAAGAAATGATGAGGAAGATACTCGAGGCCCAAACCAAAACGACATCGTCGAAGGTGAGAGGAGCCACTGACGGTCAAAGGAGTGGGGGAAAACCTAATGTGATAAGGAGAGGGGAATATCAGAAGCTGTAGAATTTGGAGGGAGATAAGGGAATGCCTCCCTTAGAGCATATTCTTAGAAAGGAGACGGGTAGTGTGTATAGGAGAAAGGCTTTTGATTTTGAAAGGGCTGTGTTGTTTATGATAGAAAATGTGCTTTTTAAAAGGAGAGGGGTTGATAGTGATTGGAGGGGTGTTGAATTTGAAAAGAAAATGAGGGGTTTTGAAGAAGGGATTGGGTACAATCGTGGAAAGGATTATTGGGACACTTGGGGAGGATCACCCACTTGAGGAATGGGAGATTTTCGAGGAATCGGACGTAACGAAGGAGATCAAAGGTGAGGAAACTTAAGATGGCTATTTTTGAGAGAGAGGATGCAGATGAGTGGATCAACAAGATGGAGAGGTATTTTGTCATCAATGTGCTGACGGAGTAGGAGAGACTGTCGGCAGTTGTCTTGTGTTTAGAGGGGAATGCATTGGCATGGTATCAGTGGAGAGGCATGAGGCGGCCCATACGGAGCTGGAAGAGAGTTCAAGGATTTATTGTTAGAACATTTTCCAACCAGTAGGGGATGTGACTTCTATGAGCAGTTCTTCGCTCTGATTCAGGAATGATTAGTGGTGTACCGCGATAAGTTTGAGTACCTTGCTAGCCAATTGTACCAACTTTCGGAGACTGTAATAGAGAGGAACTTTATGAAAAGACTCAAACCAGAGATCCGGGCGGTAATTATGGTGATGAGGCCTCATGATTTGGGAGAGGCTATGGAGCTAGCCCAATTAATGGAGGATCAGAAGCACCTAGAGAGGGGGGGGGGGGGCAGAGACAGTAGCTCATAGCCAACATTGGGTATCCCTCGAGAGAGGAGAAACCTGTAGGAGGGAGAATCAGAGGAAACTTCAAGAAGCTCACTGAGAATAAGCTGTAGGAGAAGAGGTTGAAGGGACTGTGTTTCAGTTGTGATGAGTGGTATACATCGGGGCACAATTGTATGGACTGAACTCTTCAGGTTCTCACTGTCTGTGATGACGAGGAAGCTAAGGGAAGTGGAAGTGAGGTATTGGTATACTCTACAAATTGTTTTAAATGAGAATTTCAAAGAGACTAAATGAACTTAATATCTCTCTTATCTAAAACAAAAGGAATCTACATTGTATTTAACGATGCTTGATCCACAACACATAGAAATAGACAAAAGACATATTCTAGGCCTCAAAATGAAATTTTGCACATCTAATGATAACAAATACTTGCACAAAAAGCCTTACATGCATCAAAATATAAATTTAAAAATTCAAGCATATCAATGCGAGAAGCGTGTTGGCGCCTTGAGAAGTATGCAGGACATTGGGAAGCATGCTATTGCCTCAAGAAGCTTACCACTGCCTCGAGAAATATGTGACAACTCATTGAAGCACGTCGCTTCAAGAAGCATGTAGTAGTGTCATGGAACTTCAAGAAGCGTTAAGACATTGAAAAGTGGTTCTACCTCAAAAAGCGTGTAACGACATTGAAAAACACTATTATTTTAAAATGAAAAAGCTTCCAAATAGAAAGTGTGTGAATACTCAATGCAAATGCATTGTGTGATTGTACTAAAAAGAGAGCAAATAGAGTTGACAATGTTCAAATAAAAAATATGAATTATTTAGATCTCTGATGATGATTCTGTTGATGATAATTATCAACTGGAGGGCGTTAACTCTCAAAAATCAAATTCTCATTTTGTAATGTAAAAATATTTTTAAATGACTTCAATGTCATCCCCAATGATAGCCATTTTGAAAATAAATCTCAATTGGAGAAATCAATTTTTAAAATCCCTCAAAATTTTAAAATTCTAAATATTTAAAATGAAATTAATCATCCAAACCTTAAAGAAAAACTCATTCACCCTCTGTAATAGTTTGACGATGATGATGAATTCAAAAATAACTCCAACTCACAAAGAGCAAATGTCCGGTCAATAATATAAATAAGATTTATCATCAAACAATCTCCCGTTAGTAAATGATATGGCATGTGTCCTTAATCGGTGGTTTAGCCCAAATGTCTCCAAATGATAAATGATTATAACTGAAGCCCTTTAACCGGCTGGTTTGTCCCTACAATTCTACTATATTATGATCACAACCAAAACCCTTATATTCTCCAATGGCTAATACCTTTAAGTAATGAATCATATGGTAAACTTGATACTACACAAAACCCCTTTGTTAGCTAAGACGGATTTGAATTTATCCCTTAGACAAACATTCACCCCAAGTTTGTAAAGTACTCTTTTACGAGCTAACCCATTTCTATCAATAATGATCATTCGGTCAAATTAGGTCATATTAGGTCGACTACTTCCACCAACTAAAGATTTTATAGATCATGATAACTTGGAATGACGTAATCATAGTATATTGATTGGGTTCATCATCATTCCCCTACCATTCTCTTTAACCACAAGCTGATAAGTTTTAAATTTTAAATATTAAATTTGTTTCTACTATATGATAGGGTATTAAGTGTCTATCTAACGACTAGTCTTAATCGGAAGAAAAAAAAATTGTTATCGGGAAGGATAATTAACATAGGTGCTTTGGTCTATGTGAAACTTGAACTTGAACTCAGATCTTAAATCCTTCACAAATGAAAACGAAATATATGGGTAGTGTTTTATCTCTAACCAATCTCCTTTCAGAAAATTTACCTCGGAATTTAATCCGTTAAAACTCCTCGGGATCACGAGAGATCGGGGTGCCAAATTTTTTTGGAGCCCACACCACAGTCATGCCATGATCATGAAATTCGCTTCATCCCAAAGTACATATTTTGGGCCTTAAACTTTGTAGGAGGATCCATAAGATGGTTTTCACAAATTTGGATCATTTTAGATAATTTTTCCCATTCAGATAATATGAGTATTATAGACCTTGAAGTTCTTTAGTCTAATTTTCACTATTTATGATGGTAAACTTTTTGGAAGGGAAGTTGAACAAACCAGTCATAGTGAAGAGAAACTCAACAAGAAAAATAAAAGAACAAATGTGGAACATAGAAACCCTAATCTCACTTTGATATTATATAGAAAACTAAAACGGTAAAAATAAAATCATTTTGAATTTTATTACTTGATTATGTACAATATGTGGAAATATTTATTAACTTTCCAAAAGGCTTACATGCAAATAAATCAAAGCTTTTTACAAAAAAGAAAAGAAGTACCCAAGAGGGACGGACAATTGTAAATTTGTAATAGGAAGAGACACACGTATTGCAATCTAAGGACCATAAGAGAATCAATCTAATTGTTATAATCCTAAAATCATATCTTTAATGATTCTTATCAAGATTGGCTAACTTGTGAGTCACATAATCCTTAAATTATTATTATTATTATTATTATTATGACATTTAATTTTTTTTTTTTTATAATTTTTGTTGCTCCCTAGCCCATATAAGAAAGATTGAGGGTTGTTAGGTTGATAGCCAATCATAAAACTAATGAAATGTATCCAATTGAGCCTAGCATTACAAAATGGAGGAAGGGGTGGTGTATGGTTCTCTAGCCACGAATAACAATTGTCGCCATTAGTGAGAACTTGGCATTGTTTGTAGGACTTCTCTCTCTCTCTCTAGGTATATTGGGGAAATGGTGGAGAGAGAAATGATGTCATCCAACTTGTGAAGCCTCCCCTCTTCAGAACCCCTTGAAAGTCTACATATGAAAAAAAAAATTGCCAAACTAGAAGTGTTCAGTGCTTATTTCATAGAGAATTAAAATTAATCTCATGGCAATCGATGAGCAGTTGTGATAAGAAATGTTAGAAGTGGGCAATGCTTAATCTGTTATTAATTTAGATTTCTTGGTTCCATTAGTATTACAATCGGGCCACCAATATGTAAGGAAGTCAAATGTTATTAATCCTAGTTTCAATTCGTAAAGTAGAGACAAATGATTAAGTTTACTTTTTATTGTAATTTGAAGTCATGTATTCAGCTATGAAAATAATCTCTTTTTAATATATGAGTCATCAGGCTACGGATGTCAACTTTCTGGATTTTGCAGACTACCGCCATTTTAGAGCACTATTATTGTACTCATTTTAAAGCATATTATTTTAAAAAGTTGTCATGATTTGGAAACCAATTTTTCAGTAATTTGTGCAGGATTACCTAACGGTGTTTTTTCTTTGCCTGCTTTACTGGTTCGACAAAAGAATAACTCATTTGTACAACTCACCCTAAATCCTTATCGTACTCGTTGTTTTGCATCAGGAATTTAATAAGAAGTCGAATTCTCTTTACACTATACTCCGTAGTAGCCGGCTTGCCGGAAGTCAGAGAGCGCCATTTCTCAGGCAATTTCTTATGCGTCTAAATTATAATTCCTTCTTTGAGGTAAATTCAAACCTTTTTCTTTCTGAAATTCGTAGTTTTACTGATAAACAATGGCTCATTTGTTCTTCTTCACACAATAAATAGGCAACTGCAAGAGGGGTGTTAAATGTTGTTAGACCACGTCCGAATTTTACTTCTCTTGCCTAGAAGTGTTTTTGGAATTGTTCTTCGAATATCAGTAAAGAACAGATTGCGAAATACTTTTTGGGGTTTCAGCTTGTTTAATTGATGATAGAGATTTGCTGCACTGTTCTTTACTTTGGTGAGTTAGAAGACTTTCTGATCTATTGCTCGTTAGAGGATAATCAGGACAAATACAAGACGTTTGCTCAATGTAACAAGATCTCCAGGTCCTGGAAACTGCATTTGTTACAAACTAAATCAGGTCTTTGAATTGTTTCATCTGATCTTGTTTTCTTGTTTCTAGCATGCTTTTACATATAATGATATTATTGTATAATTCTCTTGAGTGATGGATAGCTTTATGTCGTTATATATAATATAAAAAATTTATCCTTAATTTTTCATGTAAGTATATATATTATAGAAACTTTGTTCTCTATTAAATTTGAAGTTCTCTTTGCTCTCTCATTTGAATTCTTTACTTCATTGATCTATTGGTATGGTTAAATGTTGAGAGGTCTCACTTGTTGAAACAATAGCTGAAGGCTTGAGATATTATAGCATTAATGGTAAGAATGTATTTGATACAACTATTCTTGCAGTAGTAGTTTTTTATTGCGAGCCCACTTAGAGCCTTGAATTTCAAATTGAGCTTAGGTATTTCACTGTCCAGCCTTAGTTTTGAGAGGGCCAGTCTTATTCATTTTATGAATCCTTGGCTTCACAAATCACAAATGTTGTTTTAAAATGAGATGGTCAAGCCGAAGATGATATTAATGAAATCGTATTAGAGAATGCACGACATTGCTTGTATATCTTACTAAATTTGCTTAATATCTGAAGGAAATTTTATTTCACTCAAAGTCTATAGGACCGATAACTAATTAGTATTAACATTTATTTTATTTTATTTATTAGTATTTGCATAATATATTTGCATGTAAGAATCGTTTTGAGAAGAATTTGGAAGTTTTTTTTTTAATCAAAATATACCAACTAATTTTAAAGACATTGAATTTTCAGTTAGATGATTACGATACCTAAACAATCAACTTTTTTAAAATGCTCAATTATAACAAATTAAATCACTATAAAATTCCAACCTAAACTAAAAATGAATCAGCATAAGCATTTCAAATTGGGTAAGTACAAATTCACCATTTCGAAATCAAATCAATATAGCTCAGTCACCAATTTTAATAAAAATAAATAAATAAAAATAGCTCAGTCACCAAATTATAGTAATAATTTTCATTCATATAAACAAAATCAAATAAATAAGCCCTGTGTCAGCATAAACATGAGGCCGAACGCCATTAGACAAGAAGAGACTTCGTTTGGATTGAAGGAAATGAAACAAAATCCCAATAACATATGGGTTTTGATTATAAATTTACAATCAGTGATCAAAGCTTACCAATCTATTTCTCATTAATTTCCTAAATCCAAACATTAATGATCATTTCTTTCCCAATCTAGAATATTAAACATCCCATATAATTTAGAAATTGCCAGTCAATCTATCAAGAAAGTATTACTGTTGTCTCCCAGCTGGTGGCCGCTAGAGATGCAAAACCTCCAATCCACAAGGTTTTTATCTTCGCATCAGAGCGACTGAGATTATTGACTGAGGAAGGAACAGCTCTACCAATGGCTGCTAGGACCAGCTTGTGCTGCAGCAACTTTTCTTGACAAGTAGGGTTTATGCTGAACCAGATTGGCTCCTTCAATACCCTCATCTCCTCTCTCATTTTTACAGCTTGGATTTCTTCTAGGGTATGAACAATTAGAAGAATTGAATTGAGGATTAGTTATAGGGTTTCTTGCTATTCTTCTTTGTTCAAATGGATCTGCACCACTGTTTGTACTATTGTTTTGGCGAAGCATGGAAGCATTGGCTTTTCCTGGCCTTAAAGCGGTGCCTGCCAGCAGAAACCAGTCAGTCTATCACTATTTGATGATGAAAGAATAGCATATAAATCACATTAATCACAGGGTAAAAAAAGTGACTTCTGATATTCTGTTCAAAAAATTTTCATCGAAAAAAAAGTCTTCAGATATTCTTAGCTCCTGTGGGATCAGAAGAAAAATCTTTGTGATCATACGTAGCTAGATTTATCAGACTCTTTAGAGGTAATGTGAACTTGATCGATAGATTTTTAAACTGGGAATTGTGCAACAACTCTGAGAAGCTGGCTTCAAATTTTGGCCCATGACAGACATTAATGCCGACTTCACCTGGGGTCTGAAGAGGTCTTCCTTCGTCTCAACATCTACAGAGAGAGGTCTGTGAATAGAACAGTTGATCGAGGTAATTACTAAGCAAATCTCCCATGAGGAATTACAAGTCCCCAAAAGAGGGGCTGGTCAGGGCCGGTATTCCTAACAACTAACTTGACCTATTGAAGATGATAGAAGCTTTGCCCCTTAAACCGACTTCTTTTCATTTAGTTATGGCCGCTATCCAGTATATAGAACATTCTAAGTGGTCATCGAACATGTGAACCCCCCAAATCAGTAGAACCCAAATAAACATTGCATGTACTATAATGATCATGCTCATAGAATCATAATTGATTATCATACATCTATAGTTTTTTTTTTTTTTTTAATGGAAGAAATAACTATGGAATCAAGGAATATATGCAAGTCAAGAGGCGATTGATTGGTTTCTAATGGAAGAGCTAAGAAGCTGAAATAATAAACGCCTTTCCAATGGCTTAGGGAGACAGTAAATCTTTGGAAGAGATATCAATGGGTTTCACTGTAGTCATGGAAAGCTCTCCTTATGATGCTATTTTTAGTCGACATTTGTTGAATGAATTTAGAGTTTATGTGCCAACATATCATCTGATAGTCAAATTTCTAACTAAAAGTGGCTCAAGCACTGCCATTGCAATTGGGAACTTGTTGTAATCTAGGAAATGTTAGTTGAGTTCCATCAAAACCAAACTCTGTGATCCTGCTGCTAGGATCAGATAACAAGAATTGTTTGGAAGCCGTTGAAAGAAAAATAAATCTCTTTCAAGATCAACAATTAAGTCAAATGCAATTTCAAATTTAAATTATTTTTAAGAAATAATAAATACTTTTTGCATGGGAGCTTTTGGAGGTGCCTGGCATAGACATGAATGTAGCCTGCCATTGACTACATATGTAAGGTGGAAAGGGATGTTTATCACCGAGTAAATTTGTAAGCAGATTCAGGAGAAGAAAATTTTTTAGCGGCTATTTTATCAAAGAAGCATATTCTAGAATGGTTGTGGAATATTACCATGGTAAAGAAAGGCACTAAGATGTGGAGAATGTGCATAAATCTTGCCAATTCTTTAAAAAAAAGGTGCAGGGATAGCTTATTTTCTACAAAGGATTGATGCATTGATTGATTTGATGACCGGTTGCAACCGTCTCTGCTTTCTGGAGTAAATAATTTCAGATAGATGTCAGAGTGAGATGAGCACTTTACAAAATAGAGTATTTGCCTTCATCTCCTTTGCTTGTATTCCCAAACCTAGAGAACCCTTCTTGTTGTAATTGAGCATTGGTGAAAATATTAGCCCAGTGTTAGTCAGATAAGGTGAAGATGCTCTCGATCTATTATATGAGTTGAACTCTAAGGGTGACTAAAGTAATGCATCAATTTATGGATAACTTACCATTTGCATTAGTGTCAACTAATAGTAGTTCTGAGTTTTTTCAAGCACATTTGTGCTAAGTTAATGATAGGCCAATGCTGTCTGTTTTTACTAAAAGCTCCAGCATTTTAGGAGACGTTTGAAGCCGATAATGGAGTTGGGAGGGTTAGAACTACAATTTATATAGAGTCCAGTTTATGTTGGAGCGGGTGCTAGGTGAATTTGGTTGAAGGCATAACAGTTGAGTCAATATTTATGCAAAGTACAAGCAAATATACCCAGGATGGACAATTGCAGAATATAACATGTACATGGTGGAGAAGAAAATCAGGTGGTAATAAGTTAATACATAAATAACCCTATTGAAGTTCATATAAAGGTTGTTAATACAAACCTCAAGGTGATGCAAATAAAAGGTTTGCCATATAAAAAATCATCCAACAAGGACATACAAATTTTGACAGATATGGATTGAGCTATAGACTAATTCGATTGAAATCTACATCTGGCTACAGTACTTCCACATGGAGAAACTTTGTTATTTGGGGAAGTAAGAAACAATCTATTATGGCCTCACGAAGCAAACTTGAAGCAAAATTGATGCAAGTTAGGTTCTAAAATCAAGTAGGAGAACACTAGGAATGCAAATTAAGACGCTTCCTTTTAATAACATATAAACAACACTAAACAATATAAACTAAGAAACAAAGATGGGCAAAAGGTTAAGAAGTCACTCAAGAAAGAAGAAAAAAGAAATAAAACACATAAATTAAAACACCCTCAGAACAACTACTAATGGTCACCTTACATGCAAATACAAACTAGAAAAGGTGCTAAAAAAAAGGACAAGCCAGAGATTCACCAAAGAAATTATGATCCAGCACAGGCTTTTACTCATCCGGTAAATACCAATAGAACAAGGCATAACACACCTTACAGCTCACAATATTTAGAGAAGAAAGATACAGGTGGAAGAGAAACCATGGAGAGAATAAGGATTAGGAAGAAGATAGCTCACAAGATAGGAAAAAACCCTTACGTTTTAACTTGTTTACCATCAAAAAACCTCCTCAAATAGCAAATAGGCTATATTATATAGGAGAAAAAGGGAAAAAGCATTAAATTGCTCACTTAAATGGTCACCAAAATAGCCAATATAAACCATCCAAGTCAACCCTCATAATGAGAAGTCAAAACACTTAGCATAGGAATCAACAGGGGGAAAATTGAACATCCGGCAAGGGTGAAAACCAAACAGCTAGCACAAGAAAAATAGCTAGCATGGGAAAGACCAAACAACCTTCCAACATGGAAAAACCGAATTAGCTAGCATGGGGATAAATAGCCAGCCAACATGGGGAAGAAATGGGCCAAGCCCAATATGGGAAAACAACCCAAATTAAATACCTAACTAGCCACCAAGGAGCAAGGAAGTAAGATCAACACAAGTGGTAGGATAATGGTATGAACCAACCCGAGAGGATCGAACCCGGCATGATCATGAGTTGTTTTCCATCATAGGATAAACAAAATTAAATTACATAGCATTCAAAACACAAGAAAAATTAAATTAAAAAAAAAAACATAAAATGATAAAGCTTGACTGCATCAAGAATACAAAGCAATGACACTTGATATTGAAAAGGAATGTGGTTAAAAATGTTATTAATATAACTAAACTATCAAGTGAAAAAAATAATCTCAAATTATATCATAACAACAACGTTAGCATAAGTATTGCTAAAAATCATATCCACCATAGCAAAACACATTGATATACTGACATTTTATATAAAAAAAATAATATTTGAAGATAACTTAACCCAACTAAATTATATTCTAACAAACTCTCAAAATATAAATATCATCATCAAGGTTTAAACCAAAATGTGTTTTGATAATATACTTGAAAGCTGGACATAATCAACGTATATAACCCAATTTGGGGAGAGTGTTGAAATAATCTTAAATCTGTGACCAGCACATTTCCATCTACAACAAGCAATATGCAATAGCTTTTCATTTATAATAATCCAGTAATCTACAAACAACAGTTTTTAATTTACAGCAATCGAACAATTCATGGACAACTACATTATATTTATACTGTGCAATTAATTATGAATTCCATAATTAAAGACTAACTTTTAAATATATTTCTTTCATAAATAGTTATTTCTATGCCTATTTATATACAGCTTCCTATCTTTTTTACAGAGAAAGAAAATAAAATTCAATCATAAAATCTCCTATTTTTCCTCTCTTATATTCTCATTCTAATTGTCAAGAATATGCTATTGACTTTCATGCGTTTACTGATGGATTCAAACAAGCACAACAAGAATGTCAATCAACAAAGACGATGTCAAATGCCTCGACGCTATGCAAAATGGCTAAAACTTCGCATATTCACAAAACGGACAATGCCAATGCATTCGGCGCACCAAAATCATCAAAAAAGCACCCTTTATGCTCGACTCGATTAAACGCGGTAAAAATTGAAAAACTACAAACACGACATTACACGAAATTAATCGAACATCACCTGTTCACAAACAGATCGCACAAATACATTTGAAACATCAAAATTAGGAAGGGAGGACCCTTTGCATGCAATTCGACAGAATGTGATAAAAAAGATGGATTATGAACGCGACATTATGAAATCGCCAAAATTTCATTTGTTTGTGGACCAACCACAATATTACATTTGGAATGTTGAAATTACTAGAAATGACACCCATACATGAGAGAAATGCCAAAAATTCACTCGTATGAGCAAAATGAGGGCAAAATTTGATACACATGGCTGATGAAAATTTTGTAAACAAATCAATATGCATTTAAAATAAATATATATTTTATTATTAAAATTTAGAATTTAATGTAAAAGTATTTTTCATATATATATATATATATATATATATAAAGATTATTTCTACAATATTTTTACCCTCGTAGACCCCACCTGTGCTTGTCCAGTTGTGCCGCACGTCCCCTAGTCCGCTCACCTGCTTGCGGCCACAATCTTTTATAACTTATTAATTATAAAATTTAAGATATTTGATAAAAAGTAATAAGATTACCCATATATAAAAAAGGGAAAAAATTATTAAATTGGTCATTTTCGGGTAAAAAATGAATTCGCGAGCAACCCGAACACGATCTATTTAATAAATAGGTCGAAAATCTCAACACATTTATTAAACAGGTTAGCTCGAGCTCGGATTTTTCGAGACAAGTTGGCGGGTCGGGTCAATTATTAACACTCCTATGAAGATCAACAAATGTATGGTGAGGCAGGGAGCAATGATGAGGAGGGCTTACTATGGTAAAGAAGCTGCCCTAAGTTCAAAATTGTTTGATCCTATTCAAAAAGATCTAAGCTAAAAGTTGACCAATTACCTATCTTAATTGAAATGAATGGTGGGAATAAAAAAAAATTTGAAATGAATGGTGATGATGATTGATAAGAATGAATACATGTGGTTGATATTGGGAACATCTGTGGTTTATGATAAGAAGTTATATTGTTTGTTCTCTTTAGTGAATTGATTACTTGGCTTGGCATTTTTGTGTTTTAATTTGATAAGTATTTTGTTTCTTGGTTAACATGGAAATGGCATGTGGGCTGAATGTTTTGAACGTTGTCTAATCATATAATGCACTCTTATCTGTCTTACTTTATGTTTGAAGATACTGGTTGTTATTTTTCACAGAGATTATTTGTAAATATCAGATAGAATGATATGTTGCAGGCATCCTTTGTTCAAGGAATTGCTGCAATTGATTCTCTCTCTAATTGTCACCTCATCACCTCTTAATTACCTCCCAAATACCTCCCCTCTCAAACGGAATTTCAGTTTTATTTCAGATTTCAAATCTGAGATTTGAAAATCCCTGAAATTCTGCTCCACAATTGGCTGTCCAGATTTCTGGACTGGTTCTTTTTGCTGTCTCGAATTTCAGGATCTGGAAATCTGCTGTTCTGCCCTTTCGAATTCCCTGTTTTTCTATCCTAAAGGTTCCCATCTACCGTCCATAGACTCCAGCAGGCTTCACGTGTTGTTTCGCCAACTTGAAGACCTCCTAGTTGCAGTCCATCGAAGATCAAAAGCTGTCCAGCTGCTTGGAAGGATTCCCACCCGCTGCCCAAGGATTCTAGACCAAGGTTGGTGGTTGTTCTCCCCTCAGAAGTTGCCAAACGGCTGTCCACAGTCAACTAAGAGTTGAAGGCTGCTGCCAACCATCTTTCAAGCATCCAGACCTTCGCATAAGAGTTCTACATTATCTTTTCATTGGGTAAAGCTCTTCTTGGGACTCCTCTCTCATGTCTTATCTTCCTAATTTACTTTTCGTTTATGGTTATTAATAGATTCATGAAGATCATGTCAATTATTCGTCGCTAGAACCTAGTAATAGGAAGAGTTGTATGAGGGATCTTTCATAGCCTAATCTTATTGTTAGTATTGAGATTTCTCGTTGAAACCACTCATGTATGCAAAGTAAGATTTAGTTGACTATTTAATGATCTCAACCTCTCGCATATGTTTCGACCAAAGCTATTTTATCACCTTAATGTTATCTTACCGTTTACATCAATAGAGGATATTGCTTAATATTGTTCTCTAAAATTTACAAGTGCAAACTTCCTTAAGCAAGTCATTTTCGCATGGATTGTTTCACATCATAAACCCTCCCTCATTCCCTCACACTTTTCACCCAATAGCTGCTCCGGCTCTCTCTTTTATCTCTCTATGTCACAAGATAGTCCAAGCCACCTCTTCCCTGAACTCAAGCATGCCCCTAATCCACGAAGCAGGAATACCATCAAAGTTGAACATAGTAGCATATACAACTTCATAAATCCCTACCTATCTTAGTATGTCTCTATGCATCTATAAGATATAATGAGTCCATAAGATATATCCATAGATTTGTCCAAAGAGCTACCCTAAATGACAATCCTAAGGCAAATATAGTGAATAAGGCTGCTGTTGATGATGGCCCAATAATCTAAATTGTATGATATGTTAAATAGTTTCGGCAATAGGCTCTAAAATATAACACAATCCATGGCTCATCTAGTCCAATGTACTCTCTAGCGGGTTCAATTCCCTTCACTTCAGTTTGAGAGTGGTCACCCATTTTGAAAGCTCCTGATGAATAGAAGAATCAAGCTCATAGGAGGTAATTGAAGATGACCGAGCGAAGAAACCGCCATAAACACTACTGCCCCTAAGTATCTCCTTGTGCTATTCAAACCTATCAATGACATCAACAGCCCCCTAAGAATTGACCTAGTCTAATATGTCCCAAATAGCATCCTTGGTAGGTTTGTCCTGCAACATGTCAACAGGTCTAGTTCAGCGAAATATTTTCCTCAAAAAGCAATGAGAACAGAGTGCAAACATGATGATAAAACAAAGGGGATCGTGTCAAAGTGCGTAAAATGAAACTAGTCATAAATCCACAAGCACAATTTTAGGGCTAACGGTGACTCCAATGTGCTCAACAAGAAAGATTAAAAAGCAACAACCATTCCCTTAAAGCCAAGATGTGAAGTCTATACTAAACCAGACTACAATAATGAATACCCACATGCCATAGCTCAAATGTGTGCTTCACATCAACATTTATACATATTTTTGAAGACCTACAAAATCTAAACTCTTAGCATATATATAAATGAATTACGAGATCTACAGGGTCAACTAATTTGCAATAAAAAAGGTCCGCTCTAGACACGCACAATGTTTGTTAGGGGTATGTGTTTATCGATCAATTGAAACGAGTGTGATGAGAACATGGATCAACTACCGTGAATTTGTGCAAAATAGGTTCGAAATACCTCGATGTTGTGCAAAATCACCCGAACATCACCCATTCACCAAAAGCACTTCGCCAATGCATTTGAACATCAAAATTATCAATGAAGCACCCTTCATGCTTAACTTGATCAAATACGATAAAAAATGACAAGCTAAAAATGTGACGTTGCGTGAAATAACTAGAATGTCGCTTATTTATAAAATGGATAGCATAATTGCATTTGAAACATCAACATTACCAAAAAAAAGATCATTCACGCTCAGTTGGAGCAAATGTGATTGAAAATGATAGACTATGAACACACATTGTGAGAAATTGCTCAAACGTCGTCCGTTCTCAAAACAAACCACCCTATTGCATCTGGAATGTTGAAATAACTAGAAAATGACACTCATATAGCTTGGGTTATGACACAATAGAAAAGACAAAAAATCCACCCATACCAATAAAACGAGGATGAAATTCGGTGTGCACAAGCTACGAAAACTTGGCAAATAAATGGTTATCCATTTAAAATAAATATTTATTATTATTAAAAATTAAATTTTAATTTAGTTGATTATATATATATATATATATATATATATGCATCAATAAAATAATAAATAAATAAATTTAAATAAAATAAGTGTAAATGCATCAAGCGTACTAAAAATTGTGCAACTATACTGAAAATCACGCAATTGCATGACACAGGTATATTGAAGATTGTGCAAGAAAATCAAATCTTTCAAAATTGAAATGTCCACATGTACTCAGACAAATGTGCAAATATAAGCTAAGAATGCTACGTGGATTGAAAAAATGAGAGAATTTTGAGTTTCTCGCCTTGAGAAGCGCACAAGCATGTTGAAATCACTCAAACAATTTTATTTCACAGCCAAATGCCACCGTAGGTAATCGGTTATGATCGAGGCCCTCTAATCAATTAGGTAATTTTATCACAAAATGACACTATTAAATTACGATCATGGCTAGAACCTGCAAGTTTTCCAATGGCTAAAAACTCTGATGTAATGAATATGGTGGCACTTGATAAGACAATGTTTTGTTGGTTAAGACTTAAGGTTTACTTGAATTTATCTTCTTAGACAAACATCCACCATGGATCTATAAAGTTCCCTAACACGAAACAGCTCATAACTTTCGGCAATGATAATTCAATTAAGTTGAGTCAACTACATTTGCTGACTAAGCAAAAAGGGACGATTAAATCATGGGATCTTGATTGGGTTCGTCATTACCTCACCATCAGCTTTAAGTATAAGGTAATAAATTTTAAACCCTATACTAAATTTGTTACTATTATACGTTAAGCATTTAACTTACAACAACTAATATTAATCAATAGTTCTCTCTAATTATCAAGAGTAATTAATCAAAAGGGTTTGCGCCTATGAGTTCTCTAAAATCATATCATAAAGTCCTCATAAAATGAGAAAATTTTATGGGTAGTGTCTTATCTTCAAAATTAATCTACCTTATGCATATTTGACTCGGTATATTCAAGGCTCTTCCGGCAGAGACTGGGGCACAAATTTACTATAGCCCACATGAGTATAATATATTCGCATTTTCTTGTTTCTTGTTTAGTTTGTTCGAAGGTGCTGCATTAAATTCAGTTCATAAAGCTGAATCTCAAATGAGAAAATGATGATGACAGAGATGAAAACTTCAGTATAGAATCAATTAAATATTATCATGTAATGTTACAAAATTGTAAAATTTTGAAAACAAAATTTCACTTACCTTGGGACCTCTGAGAAATCTGTAGAGGAAACTTTGTTACTGGATCTACACCATTCTCGTATTGTGGTTTTGATTTGTCATCTTCATTAATTGAACATTTGGAAAATTCTATAACTGCATCACTTGAATTATGTGCTGTGTTTTCTGAACGAAATACACAGGGCCTTTTCATGTGAAAACAAAATCAGCCTTAGTCTCACTTGCTATATATATATACTATTGGGCTAGTTTGCTTCAATTGAAGTATTTGGAAGTACTGGGGCTTAACTTCATAAGTGAGTCCCATGAAATGGGTTTCAATATTATTTGTTTATTTGCATGAACTCATTTCTTATGATTCAATTTCAATGTTTGTTTGGCCTGCAATTAATTTGACTTTTAATTATCATCCATAAACAATTTTATTATACTTTTATTATTATGAACGAAAGTAATATTCAAATCCATCTTTCTCTGAATTTTTATGTTATTTTATTATCAACTCATTAAAAAAAAAAGATGTAACTTCCAATCTCTCATCAGTGAAATTCAAATCTCAACTTTATAAAGGTTAAGTTCTGAAAAAGGAAATAATCTTAATTAATTTCTACCAAATAAATATTTGAACTTAGTTCTAATCACTTCCAAATACTTCCATCAAAACAATCTAAACCTTGATGGGAATTAAACAGCTCACCTAGGTAATGAAGCGTGTTGCCTCTCTGGTGGAGCCACTGTTGCACCATTTCCATAATGCTCTTCAAGATAAGCAAATTGCTTCTTGAATTGGTCAACTGCGCTGTAAGCAAAAGTTATTATGAATTTTAGTCCTCACTGTTTCTCCTAAGGTTTCAGTTCAAATGAGTGCCAAGCATCAAAGAGAACAAGGAGGTTGGTAATGGAATCCCAATAATGTTATGCTGAAACATTTTAAATAAAGACACACCTCAGAAGCAAATATTATAGAATTATAACTATGTGCAGCAGTTAACAAGGTAGACCTTTTTTGGGTTTTAGTGAGAAAATCGATTACCATAAACGTAAACAAAAAAAAATAATAAAATTATCATTTAATCATTCGATCAATGCAATTAAAAACGGTTTTTTGTGAGGCCTGAAAGTTCATACGAACATGCACGGCCTGCAAGGATATCGTAAGCTTTTGAAGAGATTTCATACATTTTTGCAATGGTTAGTACCTTGGATACATAAAATTAGTTGACTCCTCCCCCTCCAAAAACTCCTTCAATAGTTTTGGATGATACTCTAGAATTTCTCTGTAGATGAGCTCCCTTATATCCTCTTTGGTCACTCTTCTTCTCTCAAATTCAAACTCCATTTTGGTAACTGGCTGAGCAGAAGGTTCCCTCTCAACTTTTGCTATATTTCTGAAATAAGGATCGGCTAAAGCCTGACACCTTACAGCAACATTTAGCTTCTTTAGATCAGGCAGGCAAATCAATAATAAAAAAAATTTCCAAATCCATGTCACCAAAACACTTGAGTAGCAGCTTTCAAACAGTACCTCTTCTGCTGTAGGACGATCCTTTGGTTCAAAAGCTAGCATCTTCTCTAACAAACGAAGAGCAAGTGGATCAGCATTTGGAAACTTTTGAGAGAATGGCACCTGCTTTTTCTTGCGCATGCTGCTCAAATACCGCCTGGCTTTCTCATTGCGTACCTGCAAAGGAAAAGAGAACTCATATATAATAGTCATGAGTATCACAAAAAGAGCATAATCTTGATTCTTTACTGTGATCATGTGAACAAACACAAACCCTGGCAATAGCTTCAGGAAGAGGAGATCCCAGAAGATCAGTCATCAGATCCAATTGATGGACAACATTTTTCCCAGGGAAAAGAGGCTTTCCTGTTAGTAATTCAGCAAATATACAACCAATACTCCATATGTCTATAGCTGGTGTATACTGCAGACAACCAAATATAGAAATAAATTAGTTATGAGCCAAGGAAGTTCAGAAGTCCTGAGAGCAATGTACGATAGTTCTAGAATAATTTAAAAAAAAAGAAGCTTTAATCAAAACATCCATAAACATAATCTAAAGCAAGCTAGATCAATGAAGAATAAAAAAAAAAAAGGTATTGATAATGACATCTAAACCATTTATCCTCTCTAATTGCTGGTTATTCAATTTCAAGCAATTTAAGATCACTTTTATCATTCCTAGGATGTGAAGTAGAAAGCATTAATCTTAATGCCAAGTTGTTGATAAGCATACTGAAATCAAGGAGGGCGGGAGAAAGAGAGAGAAATGGGACTGCCAATGTGAGAGATAAGGAATTCCATATCATACCATAGGGAGGAAAGAGAGGAATGGGAAAGAAGAAAGGGAATCCATTCAACAACAATTTCTTAATAATTGTTTTTTTAAATAGAATCCATACTGCTTTTAAATTTAGGATGGGTCACTGAAACTTTGATTCAAGATAGCTCAAATACTAGATGCATCCATTTAGTTGTTTAAAGTTTTAGACAGAGCCAGTTGGTCCACTTATTAAGTGCTGCCTCATGCATATGCACAAGATCTCATGCTCAAGTTTTTCCTTCACTCATTTAGAGTTTGAGCCAACCTAAAATCATTTCAAGTCTAGTCAAAATCATATCAATTTTGATGTCGAATAGGCTCTATTCAAAAGATACTGATTACTAGTCAAGTTGAGCTAGCATAAGCATATCTGAACTCACCTGGTCGTTAGCCCTATCCAAGAGCATACAAGCCAAGTGAAAAAACTTAAAATGAAGGAAAGTTCTGATGTAAGTGTCATTAATTATGCGACCAAGTTCAAGCAGGGCCCTTGATTCAAAAGTCAAAATGTGTGACTTCAATTATTAGATGTAAAGTTATAGCAAATAAGGAAACGCATAAAAAGAGGAGCTAAAACTTAATAAAATAAAAACATAATTCAGGTATGCAATTTAAGGAGACACGCAATGATAACCAATAATGATGAGTATCAAGAAGCACAATGTAAGATTCAACTCAAAACTACTTCTTTTTATGTTTTCCTTAAGACTTCGAACAGATTGCAATTGAATAGTCATATCTAAATGGTTTAGCTAACATATTTTGCCCGGGATAATGATGGATCAGCTGCTTTGATTGTGAGAGAATTAAAGAAGTTTCTTAATCAAGAGGGAGCTGTTTGAGAAGGTTCTTAATCAAAGAGAAATAATTAGAAGATGTTTCCTAATTGAAGATTTGAGGGCTGATTTGGAGGGGATTGAGTAGGAAATATTTGCTAATTGAAGATGACAGATTTAGGTGTTGATTTGAGAGAAAATTTGAGAGAGAAATAATCAAGGAAATATGAGGGAATTGAGAGAGGGCTGTTTGGGTATATATTGTTTATTGTTTTCTTTAAATAGGTGATTTTCCTAGAGTTAGGACATGTGTTGTTTGCTGAAATTAGATTGTTCTTAAGGGTGTTTGGACTCTAGCCGGCGGTTAGAGATTTGGGAGAGCCGAATCTTCCTCTCTAATAGAAGACCCACTTGTATCTGGTCTTTTCTTTCATAAAACTTTCAATAAAAAAGTGTTTGTGTATTTTATTCATGATTTTCTTTTAATTGGTTTTCTGAAATTGCTGAAATTAGATTTTAGTCAAGGATTTTTCTAAATTTCTGTGAGCACTTCCTAACAAATTGATATCAAAGATTTTCGATCCGGACACCCATAGCTGGAAGAAAAGTAGAAGTATTAAAAAGGAAGATTGGGCAATTGAAATCAGATCGTGATGAAAAGATTTCATATTTCAATAAGCTATTTTCAGCAATCTATGAGAAGATTGATGAGATGTTTGTCATCATGGAAGAGATGATAAGAAAGCTGCTCGAGTTCCAAACCAAAGCAGCGTCGAGTTCCAAACCAAAGCAGCGTTGCCAGAGGCAAGGGGAGCCACCAGTAACCAAGTGAGTGGAGGAAACCCTAATCCGATAAGGAGAGGAAAAGATCAGGAGGTAAAAACGTTGAGGGACGAAAAGGGGATGCCAGTTTTCGAGCCACTTCCAACGAGAGGAAAGGGTGAAGGAGTGGGACTTTTAGTTGAGCTGCAGCATTTGGAAGGGGAAAAGGATGGGGAAGATAGAAGCACCGGACATGATTCTACCACCCCTACAACAGAATCGAGGGGTGTTCAAGCAAATTCAAGGGTTGAATCCTTCGCAAGAACGCTAGTATGTTATTATCTGGAAGGAAGGAGTCCCACCTATCAGTGTTCATCTATATAGTCAGCCCCAAATCTAAAAAGAAGAGATTGAGATATTAATCAAGGAGATGCTCGAGGTAGGGATCGTTTGACCTAGTGTCAATCCATTTTCAGTCCAGTTGTATTAGTCAAATGCTTCAACAGCAGTTTCGTTTGTTCCACCTTAAGGACAATGTGGCAATTTGGGAGGGGAGAATTGATGGACAAGCTCATTTGATTATGAGGGAATTAAGAAGTTTCCTAATCAAGAGGGAATTGTTTAGGAAGGTTTTTAATCAAAGGGAATTAATAAAAAGATGTTTCCTAATTGAAGATTTGGGGGCTGATTTGGAGAGGATTAATTAGGAAATATTTCCTAATTGAAGATGACTGATTTAGGAGCTGATTTGGGAGGGAAATAATCAAGAAAATATGAGGAATTGGGGGATGGCTGTTTGGGTATTTACTGTTATTGTTTGCTTTAAATAAGTTATTTTCCTAGAGTTAGGGAATGGTGTTGTTTGCTGAAATTAGATTGTTCTTAGGGTGTTTGGACTCTAGCAGGTGGCTAGAGATTTGGGAGAGCCTGATCTTCCTCTCCAATTGAAGATCCACTTGTATCTTGTCTTTTCTTTCATAAAACTTTCAATAAAAAAAATGTTCGTGTGTTTTATTCCTGATTTTCTTGTCAATGGTTTTCTAAAATTGCTGAAATCAGATTTCAGTAGAGGCTTTTTCTAAATTTTTGCAAGCACTTCCTGACACATAATTAAACGTAAGATCATTGATTGAAGCAACTTTCAGTTAGAACAACAACAACAACAAGCCTTTATCCCACTACGTGGGGTCAGCTAAATGAATCTTTTTTCGTCATTGTGTTCTATTAAAAGTCAAATTCTCATTTAAATCTAATAAAAAAAGATTATTTCTAATATTTTCTAACCAAGTCTTTTTAGGTTTGTCTCTACCTTTCTTAACATAAGTCAAATCTAATACCTCCAATTTATTAACCGGGTCATCGGAAGGCCGACGTTTTATGTGACCAAACCATCTAAGGCGACTCTCTCTAATCTTATCTTCTACTGGAGCTACTCCAACCTTTTCACGTATATGCTCATTTCATATCCTATCTCTAAAGGTAAAGCCACTCATCCACCTGAGCATCCTCATCTCTACCACACTTAACTTAATATTATGCTTCTCTTTTAATGGCCAACATTCGGCACCATAAAGCATTGCAGGCCTCACCACTATCTTATAGAATTTTCCTTTAAGTTTGAGGGGTGCTTTTTTATCACACAACAAGCCCGATGCATTCCTCCACTTCAACCATCCAACTTGAATTATGCTGATAATATCCCCATCTATTTCACCATCACTCTGAACAATAGATCCAAGGTATCTAAAACATGTACTCTTATTAATGACTTGATCACCCAAAGTCACAATCCCCTCACTAGGTCTATTACTACTAAAATTACACTCCATATATTCCATTTTAGATCTACTCAAGCGAAAACCTTTAGACTCTAAGGTTGACCTCCATAATTCAAGTTTACCTTCAACTCCCTCAGTTATAAATTGTAAAAAAATAAAACCCTAATATGAAAATTCAATGCAGAAACAGTACAAATTGAAAAACTAATTAAACATTAAATTGATCCAAAAAAAATCATCGCTTAAATGAAGCCAGGACCACTGCCAATCTCAAATAAGGACTATATAATAGCAGATGTTAGAATGAAAAAAACTAGAAATAAAGTAAAATAAGCATTTTTAACCAATATTTAGACAAATGTATTCGCAGTAGATATTTACTTCTTTAAAATCAGTATAAAACAGAATAAGCTCGGTTTTTGTTTTTCAAATACAAGCTTAATTAGCAAGAAACCTTGGAGAAAAAAGATCCACATAGTTCTGGTGCTCTGTACCATCTCGTTGCAACATAATCCTGTACGGAAATCCACAAATAAATATTTAGAAGAATTAATGAACTGTCGATTGGACTTTGAGAAAGAAATTTTGTAAACAGCTACATCACAAAACCATACCGTCCAAAATATTGCTGTGGGGGTATCATTGAATGCCACCCTTGCAAGACCAAAGTCACATATCTTGAGCTTGCAGTCAGCATTTGCTAGAATATTTTTAGGTTTGAGATCCCTATGAAAGACATTTGCTGGATGTCCACGTGAAGATAAGATCAGAAGCTATGAATGGAAGTATTTGGACATATAAAATAGTTGGAGATGGAGAGTATTATGTAAAAGTAAAGCGAGATATAGTGATATTTCACTTCAAGGTAGTAGCTACTATTACAACTACTACAACAACAAGCCTTCATCCCACAACATGGGAAAGGTAGTAGCTACTCTTACCTATAAAAATAATTCAGATAATAAGGCCCAGTAAATTACTTTGCAATAAAGTATTAATTAATATGTTTAAAAATAGGAACTAAAGGGCTAATCGAGCAAACCAAAGCTCATTTGATTATGTAATTAGCAATATAATTTTTCAACCAATTAATGTTTTACTGCAAAGAAAAAAAGTCTGTCTTTGCAAAGTGAGAATAAATAGTCCTCACTAAAAGAGGAATTTTTGGCCATTAAAAGAGAAGCATAAAATTAAGTTAAGTGTTGCAGAGATGAGGATTCTGAAGTGGATGAGTGTCTTTACTCTAGGAGTTGTTTGGTTGCCTAAAAAAGAAATACAGTGTAAAGTAAATGCTATGTATTTAGAATACTTCAAAGTGTTTGGTTGTCTGCAAAGTAAATGCATGGAAACTATTTTTCTTGTTTGGTGAGGTATACACGGTGCAAAGTAAAAGCAGTGTATTTTGAATGCTTTTGGAGTCGTTTGGTATGATGAGCAGTATTGAAGTAAAGTATCATATTGAACTCTAGCTTTCATATGTGTTCCATCTATAGCTTCGACACAATCCTACTTTTGATAAAATGCATCTTACGAAGACCACTAAAAAAATTGAATACTATCAAATGTGATTCGAATATACCAACAATCTTCATGTCCTTACTAATTCACATAGTTTGAAGAAAGGCTTTCTTCTCATGTGTATCATATCAATACAAGTAGAATCAGATTCGTCATATAGCCTAGAAAGATATGTGCATCATTGTATATTCCGTTGTGAATTATATTTTTTCCTTTCTCTGTCAATTTCACGTAATAACAAGCATATAATAATAAATGTACCAGCAACCACTGCTTGTACTGCGGAATAAATTTGTGTTTCATCTATTCCTGCGACACCCAAATGCTTATCGAAATTGGATAGTTGATCTTTAGCATCTTGCAATTGTTCATCCATAGATACCAATAATCTATAAGTTTCCAAAAAGAAAAAGGTAGTACCAAACAATTTTGCTACAGAACTTACTTCTGAAACTAATAGCCAAAGATTTCAACTGGGAAAAAATAACCAAATCTGTAGAAAATCAAAATGCAATCTATTTATTTCTCCAAAATTTTAAAAAATGCTTTATCCTAATTTTAAAGTGAGAAATAACCCTACAAACACAATTTTTCAAACCCCTTTCTTTCTCCAATACATAAAAGAAATTTCACAGAATGGCTCAAGAACCCTACAAATGAGGGATGCCAAAGATTCCAAGTGAAAAAAACAATTTCCATTACAATAAAATGCAATTTTTTCATCTAATGGAAGAACCATCCAATCTTTTCATCTCTTGTAATAACAAATCAAATAAGAAGGAAGAAAGGACGAGAGGAACCCTAGTAAGCAAGGTAGGAACAAATAATGGCTGAACTTCACGAGATGCACCCGAACGGCCGGACTTCGCTGCACGCTCCGCGGAAGAACAACATTGAGGATGACGGACGAACACAATAAGCGAACGCCTGGACTGCGAATGTCTGGACTGCGAGCGATAAAACATGATGAAGATGACGGGCGAGCATGAACACGAGAGGAGGATTTCGTGAGGAAGAACGACTCTCGTTTCTTGGATTTTTTTCGTGAGGAAGATACAGACACGAATAGTCTCACGCGCCCCGTTCCTGCATTTCAGAGCTTGGTATTCATAACTCGTCTGATTGGAGCGGGCTTGGAATACACCAAAAATACACTACCCAAGGAGTTTTTAAATACTTCACTTATCTACTTTACATACCAAACAGACACAAAAATTCTAAACCCCTATGTTTACTTTACAGTACCCTCTTAATACAGGCAACCAAACAGCCCCTTAGAGACAGAATGCAAAATGAGCATATACGTGAAAAGGTTGGAGTAGCTCCAGTGCATATAAGATTAGGGAGAGTCGTCTTAGATGGTTTGGTCACATAAAATGTCCGCCTTCCGATGACTCTTTAGGAGAGTAGATATATTAGAATTGGCCTATGTTAAAAAAGGTAGAGGTATAACTAAAAAGACTTAGTTATAAATATTAAAAATGACATTTTTTTTATTAGATTTAAATGAGAATTTGACTCTTAACATAACGCAATGGAGAAAAAAAATTCATTTAGCCGACCACAAGTAATGAGATAAATGCTTGATGTTGTTGTTGTTTTTCTACTAAAAGAGGAATTAAACTTTGAACCCAAACATGCGGACGGAGCAATAGTTTAAGCCAAGTTAGTATTAAATATAACAAGGTGGATGATGATAATGAGATGTTCTGATTACCAAAATTTTTCAGAGCGCATGAAGGACAGAGTTTATAAAATGACAAATGAACAGCTATGTTTCTAGGTGTGTGTTTGGGGATAAAAATGACACAAAGAAGCAATTTGACAATGCAGATATTATAACAATAAAAAGGACTTAGTGATAAAGTAGAAAATGCATGGCAGGAAAATAACAAAAGATATCATATTCACAAAAGGTGATTAGGTTATAAAATGATTTGAAAAGGTCATTAATCATGGAGGAAAAAAACAATGGCAAGATCTGGGTGGGGTTACAATCAATGAACAAAGACAACGAATACTCTTCTAGGTTTCTGTAAACAAGTGGATTGACAAAATAAAGTACAATGCAAAGATAAGCGCTTACAATTTGTATTATTAATAAAATGTAAATAAATAAGTATAATTCAAAGATGAGGGCTTACAACCTGTGTGTATATATTTCAGACCACGAAGAAGTTGATAAAGGAAAAATTGGTAGTGTTCTGGTGTTAAGTCATCATTAGCCTTAATGACCTGGTGCAAATCTGATTCCATGAGTTCGAAAACAACATATATGTCCTTGAACTCCCTTCTAGATGGAGGTAATAATATATGCTTGATTTCCACAATATCAGGATGACGCAAGAGCCTTAGAAGCTTAATCTCACGAAGAATTCGTGTGGAATCTGAAACATGTTCAAAGATATCATTTATCTTCTTGATTGCAACCTTCTCTCCTGTATGAGTGTCAAGAGCAGAGCAAACTACACCATAGCTTCCTTTTCCTATCACTTCTTCTATTTGATATCTACTACCCTCACCATATTCAGTGAAGAAATCAACTTCAGTCAAAGCCTGCATCAATAGTAGCATAAAATTTCACCCAGTAAAGAAAAGGTTGGTTCCAATAATAAATAGATTGCAACTAATGTACTAACTAACACATACTAAGCAAGGGAAAAAAATATCGAAACATCTTGTACATTTTATAATCAAACTAGAGGTATGTTCTACATTCATATATGTAATTGTTAAGAGACATTCAGTAACAGTTAGAAACATTTTGCAATTGCCATTCACCTAAGCATCAAAACAATAACCAGATAAAAGAAACACCAATACAATACATTAACGGTGTAAGGCCACAGCATAATGTTAGCAAGCAAACTAGATAGAGTCGTAGACACTTGTATGTGGACTCCTACTCCCTGAGATTACATGCTTGAAGCGTAAAAGAGACTTCTCTAACAGAAATATACAACCTAACACATAGATCCAAAGGAAAATAATTTGAGTTATGATATCCTAACTCCAATTTGGTTTCTGCCCAATAGATTTGCTTTGAGAAGTGTGCAATATGATGCTAATCAATCAACTCTTCTATTATACTCATCTCAAAACAAATTCAACTGATAGAACCATCCCAAACAAATTTGGGTCGGGATCTTCATCCAAACTTTCTCTGATCCACCAACCAATAAAAAAATGGAAAATAAAGGAAGGGTATTATTTCATAATGGTAGATTTACCATGAGTTTAAAATCAAACCCTAGGGCATTAACATCACCTCAATGAATGACAAAAAGGGAAACATGTTTATTTCATGTAAGGATAATTACTTCATAAACAAGCAGGGAGGCACAACATGATTACCTAATTCTAAAATTTGAAATTTTAATTAATCCATAAGCCAATCCATAGTTTTGACCAAACTAAAATTGAAGATAAAATTACTAGCCTCAAACTAAAGATTGCTCCTCGGTCCATGCCGTATCAGTATGCAGAATAGATGCTAAAAGATTAGGTTAACATATCAAAATCTATTTGCAGGAGAAAAACGAAGCCATTCAAATCTAAGCAAAAGCAAAAATATAATTAAATAGAAATCTGAAATCATCTATCAGAAACAGTACCATCTAAAAAGAATCAATCCTAACACTTGAAAAGAAAAACCTAGAAGCCATACACCAAATATCGATGAATTTCGATAAAAAAAAATTAACAGTAAGTATAACCCCCATGCTAAATAACCCATCGAAGGGGGGGCAAACACTCACACACACACAAAATGACTAGCGGAAACCAACAAGGGTTCCAATGCAACTTGGACAGATTTAATACCAGTAATTAATACAGGCCGTGTCATATGTTCTTTAAAAAAAAAAAAAAAGCAAAAGAAACCTAGAAAAAGATCCCACCTTTCTTCGCTGATCCGCCTGCATCTCCAAAGAAGAATGGAATGAACCCTGCGAAGATCAGAGGCACAGTTCCAGGAGCGAGTTTGGGATTCGATGAAAGTGAAAAATAAAAACGAAATCAACAAAATGGGCAGCTGGAACCAGTGAAGAGACAGCCTTCAAAGCATATCTCTCTATCCCTCCCTCGCCGTCTCTTCATCCCCGCTGTTCAATTAATAGCAGTGGATAAATAAATAAATAAGTAATCATTATAAAAATCTTAAGAAAAATATTTTTATGTAAAGGAAAAAAATAAGCCTTCTATTTTTTAAAATATTTTGGGGCAGAAGAGAGAGAGCCGTTCTGAGGGCATCTCCAACCGAACGGCAAACACTTGTTTGCCGTTCTTGCTTTGCTCCAACCGATCTCCATTTTTGACGCCATTTGATTGCGGATGAACAGTGCGACGCCAATATTGGCGTTACACTGTTCATCTGCGGCATTTTCTTCTCTCTACCGAACAGCTTGGAAGAAAGGCGCCAACGAAAACGACCATTTTAGCGGCAAAATGGCGTTGGATTGGAGATGAAACACGGCATTTTTTTGATTTCCCTGCATTTTGGAGTGAAAAATGACATTTTCGGTTGGAGATGCCCTGAGTCATTAAAAAAATGGTGGCACAGAAAATGATAGCGAGTGAAAGTTCCAAAATACCCCTGGATAATGAGAAAGTTATAAATTTATAATTTCGATGTGCAATTTTTTAGAAGCCAACAAAGTCGCAATTTTGCTTTTACAATAATTAATTTTCAATTACATGATTTATGGTAGGGCCCATTTGAAAAAGGAGGTCATTATAGTTGTTGGAGCTAGAAAATTTGTGATATTTAAGAGAGTTTAATATTTTTATTTTATACAAAAATCAAATACACATATGAATGAGAGAGTTATAATAAACATTAATATTTTTACATGAAATTAAAAAAAAGGAAAAATTTTGCACGGCTTAGTCCAATTAGAATGATTCAACTCATATATATCATATTTTACAAATTATATCATTACTTATAATTGGGTAATAAATGTGTTACATAAGTAGGCATAACATGTAGACGATGGACTTCATGATGAAATTTATTAGAACCTTGATACATTAGAGTTAGTTTTAAAATATCGTTTGTGTGCTTTTTTTAGGAGAGGAGACTAGTGTAATGTCCTAAGTTCAGATTTGAAAGAATTGTTTATTTTAACCTCTAATTAAACTATCATATCTTCTAATAATTCGTTGATATAATTCAATCCAACATAAGTAATTAAAAATCATATACATAAAAATATGTTCATTTTTCAAAATTCATGTGCAATAATCATGAGTCTCATCAGTACATCAATCGATTTATTTTTCTACTCCTGATTACAAAAGAATAAAATAAAATACATAAATTTTAAAAAAAAAATCACTATCTACCTCACTCTATTGGATCATGTCCTCTTCCTGAAAAACATACAAAATCACAGAGTGAGCTAACAGCTTAGTAGATTATTAGAACCTATCACTGAAATCAATGCAATACAATATGAACAATAAGCATGTAATCATTCAATCAATATGTAAATATAAAAGCTTGTAAAAGCAACTATAAATAGTATCATGTCATATGAGCAATAATAAAATGTATATCTTATTAGCAGTGATCGGTAATCAAATAAAGAATCAGCAGATTCCATCATTTATATACCTATCAGTTACTGAATAATTTAGTCTATATATCAATTTAGGAAATTCGTACACCAGTTATTATCATATGCATGTTGTATAATGTATATGTTATGTATGCATATCACACATCATATCCAATGCAGTTTATCCAATACTGGTGCAACATATTATGTATATCATATAATTCATAGCATGTGATTCATATATATACCATATGCACTCATATCAATCTTATTATTCATATAACATACATGGATCAACCATATCCTGCATCATGTATAGATCATATCATATCATGTCATTTATGTCATTTATCATATATGTTCTTATCATATGCATATGCAAGTAATGTATCAATGTAAGCAATATAAGCAAGATAAGACACATGGCTACCTGTGATATTTTTCTTGTATCTGGTCATGTAGATTAACCCTACAAGAACTAGTCTCAGTTATATTAATCATATTTTCAGGAATCATTTTCATATCACATATCATAAGTCAATCATGTGGCTTTCATTTAAGCAGTTGTCATATTTTGTCCATTGGTCTATCATATCATATTAATCAATCTCCTTATACCTCCCTTTTTCATATCATTTCACCATAAGCCATATTTAAAAAAAAAAAGTCTGGCGGCCCACCATCTTGCACAGAGTAACATGTTTCAAACCAACTTGAAGAAATCAATAATTTCCTGCCAACCTTTAGTATCCTTTTTCACATATGTCACATCATATAGAGCATAATAATAAATATCATATAAATGTCCAATGCAATTATGCACTCATCACCTGTAATATGCCAAAAAAAAGCATGTTGACCTTACTGAATGGTAAATAGGTGCATGTCATATATTTCATGTTTAAATACAATACATTATTTCTTGATCATTTTATAAATAACATTATATTATATAGTATAGTTAAAATGACATATATCCAAATTACCCAATAGAATTTTAATATTAATCAGTCAAAATGGATAGGAGGAAAATGTTTGTCACATATCAATAGTTATATAGTGAAAAATCATTATAATAAGAGACATTACATTTTTAATCACTTTTAGGAAAGATAAAATTTGAGAAATTGAAATCATTGAAAAAAGAAGTCAAATTCAAACTGCATACCAAGATCAGAAGACTTCTCATAATTTAATCGATCAAAGAAAATGGCTCAAAATCTTCTTTCTCCTCCTTCTCCCCTCTTCCTTTTCCTCGCCTTCTTCCTTACCCGGCAAGTCAATTGAATGGGAAGGGGGAAAGGCTTATCGCATATAAAATATATAAAAATGTTATTTAGCATCGAGCAACGCGGCACTCCATTGGCACATCGCTGCAGTGCTATATGCAAAACAACATTATGTCGTAGCACCGCTATGCTAAATTATTTCCTGAAATTCTAAAGAGCCCATTGCCACTGTGATGCTTTCCCGATGCGTCCTAGCACCGATGAGCTAGCATGCACATCGATGCAGTACTCCAGTTCAAATTTTCAATTTTTTTATATTTACATTTTTAAAATTATTTTCATTATTTTTAATTTATTACAATTAGAGACTAAGAAGTACTATATAAATATTAATATTGACATTGAGAATCATATTTGGTGTCATTGGTAATAGTTTGCGTCAATCTTATTGGCAATTGAAGGTATCAACATTGTTGACAATGGTAAGTCACAATGTTGGTAGGAGTTAACATTGATGATGATGACATGCAATAACCCTATAGGTGATGATGGACATCATTATTTATGTCGTTGATGTGCCCGGATCTTATAGGTGATGGTGTGAGTTGATATTGGTTGCAATGACCAATGAAAAAGTCAAAGGGCATTAATGTTTGTCTTGACAGCATGCATTAGTCTTCTAGGCATAAATATGCATCAATGTTGTTAACAAATGTAGGCAATAAAATTGATGAGCATTAGCTTTTATGGGTGTACAATGACCTTATAAGTAATGGTGGCCATTAATATTATTGGTCGTATTTGGGAGATAGTTGTAAGGTAAAGGTGGTTAGATACTATAGACAGACGACATTAGTAAGGAGATCGTAGTTGGAGGATGGTGATCAGAAGATTGTGGTTGTAATATATGTTGTTTAAAATCCAAGTAATTATCTATTAATGATCATTAATTTTATCTTAATTAGTATTTATATTTCTTAAAATATTTAATGGTGCATGAATGAACTAACATTTAAAATTTGTTCTGTGGGCACTGTGACGTTAGGGATGGCAGTGCCGCGGCTTTGAGCTCTCAAGAAAATTAAAAAATAGGTTTTTGGTGTGTGTTGTGATGCAGAGGAAGTGTCGCCACTGCATTGAGCCTTAGGTAAAGATTTTTTGAGACCATCTGAAAGATTCTTTAGGAGCATATCGGCACTGGGTTGTTGGGTACCGCATCACTAGGTCAAGTTAATGGATTTTAAATATATAAATATCTAAAACTATTTTTGCATAAATCATTTTTTTCCACCCAACCTTTTTGGAAAAAGAAGATAGGGGCGAGGAGAAGAGGAGAGAGAGTATTTTAAGGGTGAAACTCAGGATTCATCCATCTGGCCTATTTGAGAAATTTTAAAGCTCGAAGTAAACTCTTAAACCCGTGTCTCTAATTTTAATTCTAGTAAACTTATACAAAGATATTGATGTAAATGAGTTTTTTTTTTTTAGATTTTATGAAGTTTTCACTATATGATTTTAAGTATATTATTGTACTCCTTATTATAAATATTTTGACTATATGAAATGAGATTTTAATGGTTCATTTTTCCTACATCAAATATTTAGTATATTATTGAATTGAGATTTTTTTGGCAAATACAATAGTTATATAAATGTCTTGAAATATTCATATGAATGTTATCCTAAAGTTACAAATAATTAAAAAAAAAAAAAATCAGTGAGTATCCTATTTTACAATTAATGTATCTTTTACTGAGAATTCATGCATTTTCTCAATACTACATTAGATATCTAAATTAGTTACTATTATATTGCATTTGCATTCTACATAACATGGCATTTGAGATATTCTAAAATGTGAAAAGGTGTACTCTATGTTATGTTACAAGAGCCCTAAATGTACTATTCTGACCCCTTCTGCCTGATGCAAATGTGAGAGAGATTCTAACTCCACTTGTTATATACAAGTATAAGAAGTTAAATAATATTGTAAGTACTCTTCTTTCCCTATCTATCTGATATAGATGTGGGAGAGATTACCGCTCCACTTGCTATATGCATGTGTGGGAGGTAAAGGGAGGCATAAGTGTAATTGGAGACATAAGTGCTAGCTTTGATAGAAAAGTATTTCATATGTTAATAATTGAATGCCTTAAGTTTAAGAATTATTCTAAAATATGCATTAGCAAACTCAGAACTTTTGTATGAACTTTGATAGAAAAGTGAAAGTGAAATACATCTGAATATATGAGAATAAGTATTATGTATTGAATTTGGGAACTTATGTTATAATATTTATATGGGCATAAGTGCTAGCTTTGAACTTACGTAT